CAGTGGGAGAGAAAACGTCTGAGGCTTACAAACGAAAAGCGGCGAAGACTTCACGAAAGCTTGGACATAATTTGCAAAGCATTAACTCGGTACACCTAATTTGTTAACATTTTTAGGCAAGGAAGGGTGTTGTTTTTTAAAAAAATCAAATATCCAAATTATTGTTTCGGATTAATGATTCATATTCTCATTCCTTAAATTTGTTGCTGGTCATTTTTGGTCCCATGAATCTTTTCTTCTACAATGTATCATTTTAACAAATTAATTAAATTGATCTCCCCCCCCCACCCCCCGAGTGGGGCAGCAGCGTTTCGTCTGTTGCAGCAAAAATTACAGGCCGAGAAGTTTTACTTGGGCACACGCTTCTGTGAAAGGCCGCTCATGTCCCAGGACGATGTATCTGAACCTTTGATCATTTAATCAGTCAATGAATTTTACAATGTTTCTTAATTGTCTGCTAAATAATCCACCTTAAAAAACAAACAAAACTAATGTTAAGCTGTTAATACTACTGTTTCCAAGCTGTGGTCTGGAACTCTTGATATATGCCATGAATAAGGCAAGCCAATCACACAAGGAAGGCCCTGTCTCAATGGAATACAATCGAAGTGCCTGTCACAGACCATCTTCTACCTAATTTTTAGGAATCGGCTTGCAGACGTCCACAGTTACATGTGACAGATCCCTCCCGTACAGGAACGCAGGGCAGAAAAAAAGACAGGACATGCAAGAAGCCCACGCAGGTACAATCTACTTGTAGGGAGGCTCAAAGTTCAACGACACACATTTCATCCATTTACCTGGGAGAGAGGAAGGAGGAGCTGCTAAAGCCACTTTCTCCGTTGCACAAGCTGTCCGAGAAGAGGTCCCCCTCGTTCCCTTCTCCGTAGTCCTCAAAGTGCTCCTCCCCACTAATGACCGTGACGATGGAGTGACCGTTGACGTCCGAGGCCAAGGGCAGGTCGTGCGGGTGAGAGCTGGGGAAAGAAAGGAAGAGTCAGAAAATCAAAGAGATGGAGAAGACCAAGCATTCCAAACTCCCAAACCCAAACGATGGTCGTGACATCATCGTTAACGCGGCACGATTCCATCGCCTAACCGTTCTAGTGTCATGGATCGTCCGGTGCGGCAGGAGGCAAGACATAGACGGGCTTAATGCTTACAACTCAAGCTTGGAAAACCGCTTCTACAAAGGGCACACTCCTGCTTTTTTGGTTTCAGTAATTCATGGTGACTACTTGAAAACAACAACAAAAAGTTGCTTGTCATGTCATTGGTTAGGTTTCTGTTTACCGTCTGATGATAAGGAAGCAGCACAAAACCTGAGCACTTCCTTTCAACACGCCTCCAAAAACTCTCTTTGAAATCAACTGAGAACCAACTAACTACAAATGTTACTTGTTGTTACTGATAAAATAATTTTGTTCCCAGACATTTGCAAGGCTTCTGAAATGCAACTTTGTTACACCGTTTTTACCAAAACTGGAATGTGAGTAACTTCTTACAAGTACAGTACAGTGGTGCCTCGCAAGACGATTGCCTCGGGGGACGAAAAACCCGCAAGACGATTGGTTTTAGCGATCCCTATGGTGCCTTGCAAGACATTTTTTTCTATGACCATGCTTTGCAAAACAAATTTCATTCATCTGGCGAGGTTCCCATAGGGAACCTTGCAAGATGATTTTTTTCGCAAGACAGCGATTTTCGCGGAATGAATTAAAATCGTCTTGCGAGGCACCACTGTAATTAGAACCGCTGGATAGTGGTTTAAGTATCTGGAGTTGGGAGATTTGACTCCCTGTGGCTTCTCTCTGACAGGAGCTGGGTTTGATGACCCATAGGGTCCCACGTCTTTGCAAACTTTGTATACTAGTATTATCACAAAAATGCAGTGCGGCGTTAAAAAATGTAACTCGTTCAACTTCCACGCAAGGTTTCAGCAGCTCTTGAGCTTACATAATTTTTGGTTAAGTGGCTACTGATGTTGTTGCCGGTGAAGGATGTTCTCATAGAAGGCTGGGGGGGTTTCAGTTCACAAAGCGCACGTACAGCAGGAGGCATCTCCCGTTTGGAAAGAGCCAGGGAGCAGCTGATGGAGGGTTTCCGTTCACAAAGCGCACGTACGGTATGCAGGAGGCATCTCCTGTTTGGAAAGAGCCAGGGAGCAGCTGATGGCAGAAGCCTTTGCCAGAGACGCCCGTCAAAAAAGTCAAAACCAGGCAGACGGACAAATAGGGTGTTCTTGTAGGAGCCAGTTTCCCATGACCCAACCTTGGAAACCTCTTCAGACATGGCGAAGGCTTTAGGATTCCTGTTAGAGGTGGTTCCAAAAGCCGCTCCCCCCCTTTTTTTTGAGATTTGCCTCCTTCTATCAAATCAGAACTCTCAGAATCCCAGTGGCCATGAGGACTAGGAAATTCTGGGACTTTCCAACCCAAAAAAGGAACTCTTCCAAACTCCGGTGTGCTTTGCTATTAGGCCCAAGCTTTTCCTGCTCCTTTTTCCAATTCAGTGACAGTACCAGCCACAACTCCACTGTAAGGTCCTGAACTTGCAACTCAACTGGACCTTATCACATGGCTGGCAATAGAAGGGACCCAAGTTGTACTATGAATGGCAGAGATTAAACAAGACGTGGGTCACTTCTGGAGATCCAGGGGCTGCAGACGTCTATCTCTGTCTACATCGACTCCGGAAGCCCCATCCAACTGCTTTCAAGCTGAAAAGCCCCCTTGCTCCCTCTAGTGGCCCAAAAAAAGTTTTTAAAAATTAATTTTTTGGGGTGATGAGGCACAGACTTAGCCCCTTGTTTCCTACAGAGGAGAAGGGGGATTTCTTCCAACAATTAATTAATTTATTTATAATTGGCAAGGGGAACAGGGTGATGGAAGTGGACCCAAAAATGTTCCTAGGAGGCTGCATGCAGCCCTCATCTTGCTCTCCTTGCTGTAAAGGAAATAGGAATATATTCTACATGTTGGGCAGACCCTACTTTAGAGGAATGGTTCTGAAACTGGGCTCCCCAGATGTTCTTGGACTCCCAGAACGCTCTCCTTCCTGTAAAGGCAATAGGAGTATATTCCACATGTTGGACAGACCCTACTTTAGAGGAGTGGTTCTGAAACTGGGCTGGCCAAGATTTCTGGGAGTTGCAGTCCAAGAACGTCTGGGGACCCACGTTGGAGAACCGCTGGCTTTAGAGCAGTTGCCCTAGCATGGGACAACCATCAACGATCAAGTGTCACAGCAAAACCTCCAATCACTGGCTAAGCACCAGAAGAAAATATAGATAGTTAAAGAAGCCATGTAAGAGACAGTAAAGCCCAGTAAATATGAAGCAACAGTAAATATGGTCAGCCGTGCAATTCAACCCCCATATTAAACTGCTACTGCACTCAAGGTTACATAATCCTATTAAGGGCTCAGGCTGTTAAAGCACCATAACCTGTCAGTGGCCTGGGCTCCTGGCTAATCCATAAACGCAAGCATTTCGTTACAAGAGGCAAGCTTTGCTTCCAGGAGCAACCCAGTGATAAACATTTCACGTTGGGATTGCTTGTCTGCCATCTCAGCCTAGCTGAGAAGTTACTGGAAAGGTCTTGAATCCGTCGTATTTCCTTGCTTCCCTATCTGGCAAAATGGGGCCAAAGCTCACCCATTCGGTAGGGGTGCTTCCCGTATGTGCAAGGCAGAATCTCTGAATGAGCTCCAAGACATGGTTGTTGTGGGTTTTTCCGGCTCTTTGGCTGTGTTCTGAAGGTTGTTCTTCCTAACGTTTCGCCAGTCTCTGTGGCCGGCACCTTCAGAGGACAGCACTCTGTGCTCTGGTG